ATGACTACCATCATATTAAATATTTTTAAATTATATTTATGTAATACCCCAAAATTTCAAGCACATTAAGTTGAGTTAGGGACCTAATGGTGAGGAAACATTATTAATGGACCTAACCATCAATTTTCAAACTTTAAAGGGGGGCAAAAGGTTTTTTGGATAAGGCCGGCTGACTCTTTTCTTTTTCCTTTTTTTTTTCTTTCTTTCTTTCTTCCCAGCCATTTTCGCGTCTGCTCTGTTTTTTTTCTCCCTGCAGCCGAACATCACCGACCATTTCCATCACCTCCACCTGAAAAAAATTGGTAAGAGAACTTGATGATTTTTGTTCTCCTCTTGCCCAAGAACAAGTCTAGGACTTAGAACTCCTCTCTCTTGCAGAAAAGCCACCAGATCTGCTGTCTTCTCTCCCCTCTGCCGCCGGCTGCTGTTGGAGTGAATACTAGTTTTTTTGGTAAAAATCAACCATGAAACTCCTCTTTTCAGCCTTGATTTATGTTGGGTCACTCTAATCTTTTTGTTCTTCCAATTTCTAGCAATCTCATGGAAGCTTCCCCAATTTTCCCGCCGGCTCTTCCCCATACCGCCAGTTCCAGCCTTGCTTGCTAAGGTTTTTTGGTAGGTTAGCTCCTCTAATCTTTGAAAATTTTGTTGATTAAGTGTTGATTGTGAGTTTAAGTGGTTGTATGAAATGGGCTTGGGTTGTCCGAAAATTTTGTTGAAATAGGGAGGATTTCGGCAACTTGAGCATGGGTTTAGTTGATGGTTTATGTAAGAAATTGGTGGGTGTGGCTGTTGTGAGGATGTCCGAACGGAAAAAAGGAGAATTCCGTGACTTGGCTACTTTTTTGTCAAGGCCGGTTCTCCCAAATTCTTGTCCATGAGTTTGAAAAGTTGTATACGTGTAATTATATAATTGTAGATACATAGATAAATACCCAATCCCGGTGAATGCTCAATTTTCGGATAGAAAAATAAAAATGAAAATAAAGAAAGAAATAAATTTTCTTTATAGATATTAATTTGGAAATATTGTGATTAGGTCCTTGATCGTCCTGTGACCTTAGCACTTAGACTAGGCCTTCTGTCTTGTGCAATTAAGGTAAGTAAATTATGGTAATGCCCTTAAATTTTAAAGCATATTTTAACTTGTTTTTGAGATGGTGGCGAGATTTAAATGGGTTTAATTGCATTTGAGCATGATTAAATGGAAATTGAACTTTTATCAATTCCTTATTTTCTAGAATTGAGCATGCCTACATGATGTTTCTTTGGTTTATTCTTGGAAGTGAGAACGATTGTGAATCGTGGTTTTTTGTAAATCATGCTTGGTTTTGTCTCTGATATGGTCGTGTTTTTCGTGTGCCCGCTAGTGGGAGGTTTATAAATGCTAGCACATGTCGACATGTTAGTGATAGAACCGGTTCGCTCGTGTTATCCTACTAGTAGGATTATACACTAGTAATCGTGTGCCTGCCAGTGGGAGGTTTATAACACTGGTCATGACTAATAGAGGAGACAACTGTTGATTTTATTTTGCATTAATGGTTTGTTATTGAGACGTTCTGTTTATGTTTAAACTGTTTATTTGGCATGCTTTAAATTTCGATCCCGAGCATCCATATTTACTTACTAAGATGTTTTATCTCACGGTTTTCCTTGTCCACCATTTCAGGTAGTGAGACTCGACGCGTGGGAAGCCCGGGGGAGTGACGAGCTAGATGGCTAGGCATTTTTTGGATTTAGTTTTGTAGCTAGGCCGCTAGTCACCCATGCTGACTTAGAAATTTTTGTGTACAGAACTCCCTTAGTTATAGTCATGACTGTATAAATGAAGTTATAAGTCCTTGTACATTTTGGTGAGTGAATAGTTAGAAAGGAAAGGAAATTAAATATTACCTGAGTTTCTAAATTTGAATTATCTGAATTAGTAATATGAATTTAGTAAGTTTCAAGCCTTGTGCATTGTGGGACCCGTTCCCGAGTGCACGGCGTTTGTTTCGCTCTCGGTTTGGGGCGTGACAGATTTTGTGGTATCAAAGCTTAGGTTTAAATTAAGAGCCTAAGACTAGTCTAGAAATTGGCTAGCAAACTAGTTAGAGAAACGTGGTGAGGCATGAGAGTGGGGTTAATTAAGGGTGCTTATTTGATTCTTCTTTTGATACGTGTCAGTTTCCTTTGTTTTGATATTTTTGTGTTGCTTGGTCTCGGAAGTGGAAACTTGTCGAGAAATTTCTCGTTGGAGCATTTGATTAATAGTTTATACACCTTTTATGTGGTTATATATGGCTCCAAAACGGTGTGGGCGCCCGAGGGGTAGCCGTAAGGATCAGGGCACTCCTTCGATCCCAGCTGCCAGTCCCTCTACCCAAGCTGTTGTGTAGGAGGGAGGGACGAGCAATCCTCAAGTGGCCACCTTTGTTTAGGAACTTATGGCAGAGATAAGACGCCAAGTATCTCCTGCCACAACTGTACCACCTCCATCCCCGGTAGTCTCCACTCCTCTGGCCCCTGCTCCAATTTCCCTTATTCCTATTTCTTCTACTCTTGCGGTGTCTAGCTGGAAGATCTATACAGAATTCCAGAAGTTGGTGACTGAGAGATTTGATGGTACCGCGGGTTTCGAGTAGGTGGGATCGTGGATCACCGAGGTGGAGCGAGGATTCCGCCTACTGTAGGTTTCTGATGACCTTAAGGTTAATGTAGGCAGTTACATGCTTACTGGGAAGGCATTAACTTGGTGGGAGAGTTATCTGAAGCTACATCAAGGAGAGCTTGAATTGAGCACCTGGGATGGTTTCAAGAAGGTGTTCATGCAAGAATACATACCAGATAGCAGAAGGCAAGAACTGCAAAGGGCATTTGCAGAATTAAAGCAAGGGTCAGGTACTGTTGAGCAGTACAAAGAGGAGTTTGATCGCTATCTGCCTTTTGTGGGTAGTCAAGTTGGCGATAAGCAAGCCAAGGCTGACAAATTTCTGTGGGGCTTGAATTCTGACATTTATTTGGCGGTAAACCAATTTAAACCCGCCACTTATTAAGAAGCTGTGGACAGGGCCATAGACCAAGAAAAGGCTATGGCTAGAGTCAAGTCCTCAGGACAGCACAATGGTGGGTCATCCTTGGGGAAGAGAAAATTTGATGGGAGCCGTAGGTCCCTCGTCCTTACACCACCTAAGTCTGAGGTCAGCAAGGGTTCTAAATGGTCAAGAGCCACCAAGACTATGAGCCAAGCATCAACGGCCCAATGTGCTCGTCGTACTCAGCTTATTTGCCATGTTTGTGGGAAGGTAGGGCACACCCGGGATCAATGCCACATTGTTACTGGGGCTTGCTTCAAATGTGGCAAGCAGGGACATCGGATTGCAAATTGTCCCCTATTAGACCCCAAAGCTCAGAGTACTCAACCTACCTCTCCGCAGAGTTCTACCAGTTAAGGGGCGCAGAAACAGAGTATTGGGGTTAGGACAAGAGCCCAGCAGGTGAGAGTACAAATGATGACTCAAAAGGAAGCTACGGCCACCGACGTAATCACGGGTACCTTGCCTGTTAACTTTGATTATGCGCATGTTTTATTTGATTTGGGTGCATCGCACTCTTTTATTGCTCGATCTTATGCTTTGAAACGAGCTTTGCCTGTTGATACCTCTGATTGTGAACTGCATGTGGACACCCCTTTAGGAGGGGTGCTGACTACTAGGGAGGTGTGTAGGACTGTGGATATTTGTGTTGATGGTAGACAGTTGAGTGCTAGTTTGTTTGTTTTAGATATCTCTGATTTTGATATTATTTTGGGAATGGATTGGCTGTCAAAACATTTTGCCTCTATAGACTGCCATCGAAAATGAGTAATTTTTAATATTCCTGGTGAACCAGAATTTAGTTTTCAAGGTAGTGGTTCTTTTGCTCCACTCGTGTTAATATCTGCCTTGCAGGTTCAGAAATATCTTGTAAATGGTTGCCAGGGTTTTCTAGTCTCCGTTACTGATGCTAGTAGTGTGACATCAAGACTAGAAGACATACCAGTGGTGCGTGAGTTTCCAGATGTATTTTCGGAGGATCTCCCAGGTTTACCTCCGGATAGAAAGGTTGAATTTGCTATTGACCTTGTTCCTGGCACCGGACCCATTTCCAAAGCACCATACCGTATGGCTCCTGCAGAACTGAAGGAGTTAAAAGTCCAGCTGGAGGAACTCCTTGAGAAAGGGTTTATACGCCCTAGTGTGTCACCTTGGGGAGCTCTAGTGTTGTTCGTCAAGAAGAAGGATGGGAGCATGAGGCTATGCATTGATTACCAGGAATTGAATAAGGTGACTGTGAAGAACCGGTATCCCCTTACTAGAATTGATGACTTGTTTGACCAGCTCAAGGGTGCTCAGGTATTTTCTAAGATCGATCTTCGATCTGGTTACCACTAGTTGAAGATTAAACCTGATGATGTGCCAAAGACTGCCTTTCGCACTTGTTATGGTCATTATGAATTCATAGTCATGCCATTTGGCTTGACAAATGCCCCTGCCAGATTTATGGATTTGATGAATCGGGTGTTTAGCAAGTACCTAGACCAATTTGTGGTTGTCTTTATTGATGACATTTTGGTCTATTCTTCTAGCCATGCTCTTCATGAGAAGCACTTAAGGACAGTTCTCGAGACATTAAGAAGCGAGAGGCTGTTTGCTAAATTTAAGAAGTGTGAATTTTGGCTAGATAATGTTGCATTCCTAGGTCACGTTGTGACTAAGGATGGAATCTCTGTTGACCCCCAGAAGATTGAGGCCGTGGTTGATTGGAAAAGGCCAAATAGTGTTGCAGAAATCCGTAGTTTTCTGGGATTGGCTAGTTATTACCACCGATTTGTGGAGGATTTCTCTAGAATTGCTCTGCCAATGACTCGTCTTATCAGGAAGGACATCAAGTTTGAGTGGACTCCAGAGTGTGAGAAGAGCTTTTTGACCTTGAAGGAGAAGTTGGTCACTGCTCCTGTACTTGCACTTCCAATTAATGGGGAAAGATTCACTATATATAGTGATGCCTCTAAAAAGGGTTTGGGATGTGTCTTGATGCAGAAGGATGGGGTTATTGCATATGCTTCCCGGCAGTTAAAGTCTTATGAAGAAAATTACCTTACCTATGATCTGAAGTTGGCAGCTGTAGTATTTGCACTCAAGATCTGGAGGCATTATTTGTATGGTGAGGCTTATGAAATCTTCACCGATCACAAGAGCCTTAAGTATATTTTCACACAAAAGGAGCTTAATATGAGGCAGAGGCGATGGCTTGAACTTTTAAAGGACTACGACTTGACCATTAACTACCATATGGGCAAAGCTAACAAAGTAGCAGATGCGTTGAGTAGGAAGTCCTCTGGCATTGCCTCTAGCATCCTTGCCACTCAGAAGGAGTTACTTGAGGATCTTGTGAAGCTGGATGTGGAGTTGAGAGTGGACAGTACTACGGCTTATCTAGTTGCTCTCAGTGCACAACTGGCATTAATAGATAGAATTAAACTTGGCCAACAAAAAGATCCCTTCTTGCAGAAGATGAAGGAAAAAGTAAGAGCTGGGGAAACCCACATGCAAGAATTTAGGATTTCTGATGATGAGACTCTGTGGTTTGGTAATAGGCTACGTGTACCAAGAGACCATGCTTTTAAGGCATGAGATTATGGGAGATGCCCATTATACTAGCTATACAATTCACCCAGGTAGCACCAAGATGTATCGTGATTTGCGTAGTACATTTTGGTGGCGGAACATGAAGAGGGAGATAGCTAGGTTTGTCTCACAATGCCTGACTTGCCAAAAAGTTAAGGCTGAACACCAGAGACTTCCTGGAAAACTGCAGCCTTTACCTATTTCCCAGTGGAAGTGGGAGAACATCACCATGGACTTTGTGACTGGCTTACCACGAACCTTAAAGCGTAATGATTCCATCTGGGTCATCGTTGATCGATTGACCAAATCAGCTCACTTCTTACCTTACCAGACTGGCACCTCCATTGAAAAGCTTGCCAATATGTACATGGAGCAGATAGTCAAGCTGCATGGAGTCCCGATGTCTATTGTGTCAGATAGAGATACCAGATTTTTATCTCATTTCTGGACAAGCTTGCAGTAGGCACTTGGTACTCAGTTAAATTTTAGCACGGCCTTCCACCCTCAAACTGATGGGCAATCTGAGAGAACTATTCAGATACTTGAGGACATGTTGAGGGCTTGTGTTCTAGATTGGAAGGGTTTGTGGGATCAACACTTATCCATGGCTAAGTTTGCATATAATAATAGTTATCAATCTAGCATCCGCATGGCACCGTTTGAGGTTTTGTATGGTCGAAGGTGTAGATCACCTGTTTGTTGGACGGAAGTGGGCGAAAGGAGCATTTTAGGCCCAGAATTGGTGTAGCAATCTTCTGAGATTGTGCAGTTGATCAAGGAACGCCTTCGTGCTGCACAAAGCAGGTAGAAAAGCTGTGCGGATAGAAGGAGACGAGACCTTGAGTTTGAAGTTGGTGACCATGTATTTTTGAAGGTGTCACCCACTCGAGGTGTCCTCAGGTTTGGCATCTGGGGAAAATTGAGTCCGAGGTATATTGGACCATATCCTATCTTGTAAAGGATTGGCGAGGTACCGTATAAATTGGAGTTGCCTGGAAATTTAGCGGGTGTGCATGATGTGTTCCACGTGTCCTTACTTCAAAAGTAAGTTCCCGACCCGAGTCACATCATTAATCCCGAATCAATTCAACTCCGGAAGGATCTTACTTATGACGAGCACCCGATCTGCATTTTAGATTTCAAGGAAAGGATAATGCGGAGAAGGACCATTCGTTTTGTTAAGGTCCTCTAGGATAACCATTCGGTTGAAGAAGCTACTTGGGAGTTAGAATCCAAGATGAGGCAGGAACATCTGCACCTCTTCCAAGATTGAGGTATGAGTTTAGAGGACTAAACTCCTTTTTAGGAGGGGTGGATGTAATACCACAAAATTTCAAGCACATTAAGTTGAGTTAGGGACCTAATGGTGAGGAAACATTATTAATGGACCTAACCGTCAATTTTCAAACTTTAAAGGGGGGACAAAAGGTTTTTTGGATAAGGCTGGCTGACTCTTTTCTTTTTCCCTTTTTTCCTTTCTTTCTTTCTTCCCAGCCATTTTCGCGTCTGCTCTGTTTTTTTTCTCCCTGCAACTGAACATCACCAGCCATTTCCATCGCCTCCACTTGAAAAAAATTGGTAAGAGAACTTGATGATTTTTGTTCTCCTCTTGCCCAAGAACAAGTCTAGGACTTAGAACTCCTCTCT